CACTTGTGACAGAGCCTCAAATAACAGGCTCTGAATATAATAGCTTTTAGCAGTAGCACATATTGTCTGATTCTTTCACTGGAGGACTACCATTTGTGTCACCGAACATGACTCAAGGTGCCATCCAGTATTTGACGTAGCTGCTTGTGTATCTAGATCCTGTACTGGGATATCAACAGCTTATGAGTGAATTCACAAGCAGGGAACAGGAACACTTTACACCCTGTTCCAAATTATTATGCAAATTCTATTTAAGTGTCACAAAGATTAAATATTTTGTTTTTCGGTTTAACTCCTGGAGTTAACTCCTGGATGGCAGTCAATCTAAAGCTTTCCTATGGGAATGCACTGTGATTTTTAACATAATCACTTCTGATAATGTTAGCCAAGGAGGCAGATTAGGGGAAGAGCCAGCACCAGCAGACTGGGATAACGGTAAAATTGTACTATATTTAGGGGAGCAAAAGGGGTCAGGTGGGCTAGATAGTATTTTTAACACTATAGGGATAGGGATGCATATTTGTGTTCCTTTAAATTTTCATTTTAGGAAATAAACCCTAGGGTGTGTTATTTACAAGGAAAATTTAATTGGAAAATAGATTTTTAAAACAGCAAAACTAATACAAAACAGAAGATCTAAATGCTGCAATAACAATTATGGTGTTTTTAATTAAATGTAATGTACCTTCTCTACCAATGAATAATCCTCTAAAAGCTTATCAAGATCCACCACAGATGCATTTTCAATTGCCCCTTTGTTTGGTTCGTCATTCATCATAGAAGTAAAGCTTTATCAATGAAGCTTCTCTCTTGCTAAACAGAAATAATAGAAATATAGAGAAAAATACATGTAACTCAATTTCTTTGGGCTATCATTCTACATTTTAGGTTTGGTTCGACTGAGAGATTAAAGGCTAATATCCTATGTTTCAGGTGTGTCTAGTCTGAAAGGTTAAGGCAGGGCTCGACAAATCCCAGGCGCCAGGTTGCCATGGCGACCATGAAATTTGTCCTGACGCCTGGGATTTGTGAGCCTGTTCAGCCCCTGAGGTGACCGGCTGCCTGAGAGCAGAGGCAGGCAGTCGGATCACGGAGGGCTGAGGCAGGCTGCTGACTGAGTGATGAGGCCGGCTCATTGAGAGGTAAGGGAGGGAGGGAGGCCGTCTCATGTATTGCTGAGGAATGGAGGGGGATGACTGGCTCATGGAGAGCTGTTCTATCAAAATCCCCTACCTTGTGAAAATCCCCTACCCTCGTCACTTCCGGTGAGGGGAATCAGCTGGCTCCTGTGCTGCACATGCGTGCTAGCACTCGTGCTACTCCTCCACAGCAAGGTCCTGGAAGGTAAGTAAAACTAGTTTTACACTTTCATTATAGTTAGTGCATTCACTAAGCTTAGGACATGGGATATTTAGGGTTAAGTGAGGGTTCAAATTAGGGTTAGGTAAGTGATTCTAACCTCTCTCACACTCTATTCTTACCCTAACCCTTGGGGTAAGGGCTAAAATAAAGTGTGAGAAATCACTATTTAGTGATATTCCCCTAATGTGAAATATCACTAAATATGAACAAGTCCCTAATCCTAACCCTAATTTGAACCCTAACATTAACCCTAAATGTCCCATGTCCTAAGCTTAGTGAATGCACTAACTATAATGAAAGTGTAAAACTAGTTTTACTTACCTTCCAGGACCTTGCTGTGGAGGAGTAGCAGGAGTGCTAGCACGTCTGAAAAGTCAGTGTTTACATTGAAAAGCGTTCAGGGGCAGGATATAGACTTCAGAACAACTGCATTGAGCTGTAGTGGTTCTGGTGACTATAGTATTCCTTTAAGAATTGTATTTTTGGCGTTGATTTTTCTGGCTCCTAACTTTTCTAGCTGGCTCCTAGATTCCTAGCAAATTTGTCAACACCTGGGTTAAGGTGTATTTGACACTTACTGATAAACTAACATATTCAAAGATTCAAAAAAAAGTTTAGATTTTATTAAGACACGGAGGCTCCTATTATGCTGCACTCTTTCTTTATTTCCCTCAGCAGCAAAGAAAAAAAACTTTATAAACATAACCAATAATAACATTAACAGTCTCAGGTGTATTCATCCTAGTAACAGGAACAGCCAATCAGGATCCACTTCTCCAGCATAATAGGCTCTGTCAACCAATCCTGTTCCTCTTTCTTTGCTGCTCCCTCAGTTAAGTATATCTGATCCCTCAGGCTCCTTAACTGTGGGATTAGTTTTATATTATATTATATTATATTGTATTAATTTTATATTGTATTAATTTCCTAGTATTAATTTTATAGTATTAATTTTATATTGTATTACTTATATTACTTGATTACTTGGTATTATTTTGTGTTACTGTGGTATACATTTCTAGGGACATCCTTCATAGATGCCTTCTTTATTATTTTAATCTGCTGAATTTTCTGACCCCCCTTTAAGATTTCCCCGCTCCAGCCGCTCGCCCCTCAGATCCTAATTTGCAGGGGCTCGGGGACGTCGGCTGGAGCCGTACCCGGCGCTTCGCGCCCTCCTCCTCCCCCTGCCGTGCCCGACCGCCAACTAAAGAGCTCACTGAGCTCAGCTATCAGCTCCCTGCTCGCGGCGTGCTTGTGCGCGCTGAGCGCTACACATTTCGCCGCGAGCAGGGCTTACCAGGCTTTCTGTCCCTCTGTACCGCTCCGGCGGCCATTTTCTGATTTTCCCGCGCGCGGCATGTAGCTCCACCCCCAACTCCCGGTCCTCGGAGTTGGGTTGCAGCTACGGTGGCGGTCGGACGGCTCCTTGCCCCCCTCCTCACCTGTCTCATTTAATTGTGCTTGTTTTTTGTGAGTACTCGTTTTTTCTCTTGAAGGTATATTTCCCCTTTCTCTCTTTGGGTTACTCAACCCATCTAGGTCAGCTCAGTTCATTTATTTAAAGGGCCAGTGGTATACATAATATGCCTGGGGACAAAGATGTACCCTCTGGGTCTCTTATCAATAATTTGGGGTCTGTTAAAACACCCCCAGGGGTACCTGAAATTGGGGCAACTATCCCCGCTGATTTTGACTCTACTGCTGATATGCAGCTTATGTTTGACAACACCATGTCCCATGTGGTGACTAAGGCCCTCACATCAGCAATGGGACTGATGTCTGAATCTCTATCACAGACTATTACTCACGCTATACTTGGGGCACAAAAGTCGACCCAACCGGTCGATACCCAGGCTTTGCCTGCAGTAACCCCTTCACAACCTCACATTGGCCGCAAGGCCACTGCAAAAACTAAACACTCTTCAATCTCACAGATGGACAGCTACACACCTGTCACAGATGGCGCGCCTAATATACCACCGCGCAAAAGAGCCACTAGCCGGGCAAAATCGGCTAGGTTATGGAAGCGGGCAAAAGCCCAACTAGAATCTGAGTCAGATCTCAGCGAGATTGAAGAGGACACTGATATGGATTCGGAGGATCCATCAGATCCCCAATCAGAGGGTATGGTCGACGACCATGACCCGAGTGCACAGATTGCACCTCCATCTGAGTCGTATGACATGGAGCTTAAAGTACCAGACGATGCCACCAGATTAGTTGACCCCTACGGGGAACCTCTGTTCGACCCCGATGACCTACGTCATCCAAGGTCAGCGGACTGGTCACCTTCGGCCCATGTGGCCAAATACGTGGCATCGCGGACTCGCAAACCTTTAAATAAGGTGACACGAAGCAAACTGCGGGCAGAATGCCCACGCCCCACTGTCCCTGACGAGGCCTGCAGAACACCTGCAGTTGACCCGAAAATCATTCAATTCTTGGGCAAGACTGGCTGGAAGCCTAATAAGGGCCTTGATTTCTCCCTGCGCAACTGCCAGGACAAGATATTAGACATATTGGGCCCGGCAACCAAAATTTTTGATATGGTCGAAAGTGACCAAGAAATCGTTCCGCCATAAGTGGTTGGATACAAAGAGTGATTTGCCTGATCGGCAATGCCAACTGTGCGGTGGCCACAGAGCGTCGCAAAGCGATCTTATTAAAGATAGAACCAAAACTGGTGAACATGGCTATAACCGAACCGGGCGCCCAGGCCCGTGGCCTCCTGTTCGGAGACAACTTTGTCAAGGAGCTTGGCTCCTTTGTCCATACGTTCACTGCCCTAGACAAAGCGCAGTCAAACATACGCAAGATTTTCCAACCTAAGGTTTTTGGTGGGGCCGGAAGAGCCAGGAGCCGTCTGTCCGGCCGTGTCAATAGGGGCTCGTTCCGACAGAGCCGTGGCTCCTACATTGGACATGCCTCCTTCTCGGAGCACCGCAACACCCCGGTTTTCTTCCCACAACGTGGGCGACCATGGGTGGCTCGTGGACCACGTGGCTCCCGCCCAGGCAGACGACCTTATGGTAAGTGCTCTCCTATTTCCTTCTTCCCTATGGGCAGTGGGGGGCAGACTCCGAAATTTTTCCCATGTATGGTCACACATCTCGTCAGATGCTTGGGTACTGAACACGGTCAGAGGGTACACCTTAGAGTTCATATCCCTCCCGATACAACTCTCCCCGCCACGGGGAATGCTGTTTTCTCACCAAGACGCCTCCCTTGTAACCAAGGAGGTTTCAGAATTGGCACACAAACAGGCCATCTTAGAGATCCCTATGGCTACCCCAGGGTACGTAAGCAACCTATTCTTAGTTGCCAAAAAAGGTGGCGGCGTCCGCCCAGTTATCAACTTGAAACAGCTCAACACTTTCGTGGCCTACAACCACTTCAAAATGGAGGGCATACACTGCCTCCGAGATCTCCTCCAACCGTTGGACTGGATGGTCAAGTTAGACCTGCAGGACGCCTATCTTACGATACCGATCGCACGTCAGCACCAGGACTTCCTCCAATTCATATGGCAAGGAAGGAAATGGAGATTCACCTGTCTCCCTTTCGGTCTGTCCTCAGCCCCATGGTGTTTCACCAAACTTATGAAGCCCGTGGTGGCTCTGCTTCGAAGTCGAGGGGTTCGTCTCATAATCTACTTGGACGACATCCTTATCATGGGTCGTTCCAACCACATTCTCGACACCCATCTGTCATGGACTCAGACTCTTTTGCAAAATTTGGGTTTCCTTATCAATTGGAAAAAATCCATCCTAACCCCTACACGACACATAGAGTTTTTGGGCCTCATAGTGGACTCCACTCTACAGACCCTACAACTGCCGGCAGCGAAACTGACCACCATGAAGAAGGAAATCAGGCGTACTCTGACGACCCCCCTGATCTCCCTAAAACAATTGGCGAGAGTGGTCGGCCTCTTGGCGGCTTCCATACAGGCCATTTTCCCGGGCCCTTTACACTATCGAGCGCTACAGCGCCTACAAGCCTCCCATTTGAGAGACGGGACCGCATACACGGACATGATCGCTCTGGATACAGAAGCAAAGACAGAACTCAGATGGTGGCTATCCCATATGGACGCCTGGAATGGCCGAGCCATTTTCGGTACCGAACCGGATATGATCATAGAATCCGATGCGAGCTTGCACGGCTGGGGCGCACGCTGTGGCACTGTTTCTACCGGTGGCAGGTGGTCCGAAGTGGAGTCGATGCTTCACATCAATTGCCTAGAACTCCTGGCCGGTTCTTTTGCAATCCGCAGTTTTTCTCCAACTCAAGCCCGATGTGCCATCCTTTTAAGGATGGACAATGTATCGGCAGTCTGTTATATAAATCACTTGGGCGGCACGAAATCGAAGGTCCTGGCGAATTTGGCACGAGACTTTTGGCAAGTTTTGCCTGGCACACGGCATTTCGGTCACAGCAGAGTACATTCCGGGCCTCAACAATACCATGGCGGATTGGTACTCAAGGCACCTCAGGGATTCCAGCGACTGGCACCTGGAACCCAGGGTCTTCCAAGACATCCAGTCCCTATGGGGTCCTCTGGACAAGGACTTGTTCGCTTCCCGTTTGAACACCCAACTCCCCAGATTTTTCAGCTGGAGACCGGACCCGGCAGCGCTGGCAACAGATGCCTTTACCCAGGAATGGTCCTCCAAAAGGAACTACGCGTTTCCTCCTTTTGCGTTGATTCCCCGCTGCCTGCTACAACTACGACGACAGACGGGAACGGCAGTGCTCGTGGCGCCATTATGGCCGTCACAACCATGGTTTCCTTCCCTGTTGGAGATGGCGATAGACATACCCCGTACTCTCCCACACTTCGACTACCTACTTCGAGACCCGGACGGGTCCCCCCACCCCCTGATTCAGCAAGACTTATTACACCTCACGGCGTGGCTGATTTCCGGGAACCTTACTCAATCGAAGGAATTTCGGAATCGACTCTCCAACTTCTCGAGAGCGCATGGGCACCCGGCACGAGACAAGCTTATAAATCTGCTTGGTGCAAATGGCACGATTGGTGCATGGAACGGAATTTGGATCCCATATCAGCTCCTCTGACTTCGATCCTGCAATTCTTAACCTCCTTATTTGAAAGTGGCAAAGCATATCGCACGGTGAACCTCTACAGATCGGCCATTTCAAACTCACACCAAGGCATCGAGGGCGCACCGATAGGACGCCATCCACTGATATGCCGACTCTTGTGCGGCATCAGATTCACAAGACCTCCGCTACCATGCTATTCCGTACTGTGGGACGTCTCCATCATCCTCCACTTCCTCGAATCTTGGCCAGATAACGCAACACTATCTCTGAAACACCTGTCGGCGAAATTGGTTATGCTCCTATGTCTCATATCCTGCAAACGGGTCTCAGACGTTAGAGCCTTAGACGTCACCGCACGGTCCTACACTCCGGAAGGGGTCACTTTCGATATATCTCGGAGAACAAAAACCTGAACGAAGAAGGTGACATATCCAGCCTTTCCTGACAAACCTCTTTTGTGTCCGGTTCAATGTCTGCAAACCTATGAACTTCGCACCAAGGCGCTGCGGGACCCATCTAAGCATGAACTCTTCATCTCCTTCCAGAGACCACACCTACCTGTGTCTACCACGACCCTGGCTCGCTGGGTCACATGGATCATGGCTACAGCAGGCATAGACACTTCCATATTTTCGCCACATTCCATACGAGGAGCAATGGCTTCCAAAGCCTCTTCGATGGGTTGTCGCCTGGAAGACATTCTGAAAGCAGCCGACTGGTCTTCAGAATCTACCTTCCGTGACTTTTACTTCAAACCAATACACCACTTTGCAGGAACGGTAGTTTCTCAGCTTTAAACCAGCATAATAGGAGCCTCCGTGTCTTAATAAAATTCACAGATTTTACTATTACCATGACGTAAAGTCATGATTTTATTAATGACACGGAGGCGAGTATTATCCCTCCCTCCCACACGGCGACGGGGGAAGGATAGACGGAAGTTGGGTAAGTGGACCTACGGTAAGTCATTTTACCATGTCTAGTTGTTACAGTTGTAATCGCCAGATGGTTACATTACAGTTATACTTAGATCAAGGTAAGTCTTAGCTACGATCACTGATTACCTATCTGGACACCCACATTTATAGGTTACACAACAATATTCACTTGGACACAACACTGACCAAACACTATCTTGAATACCTATGACTATGCATACACTAAGTTTTATGCTAAGATATTACCATATTTTTCCTCTCTTACAGCATATTCTGCCCATCTATTCCGGGAAAACCATGTTCTATGCAGTTCAACGTTTTATTGGATAATTTTACTTCTTCGGGATTGCAAATAAAGAGGAACAGGATTGGTTGACAGAGCCTATTATGCTGGAGAAGTGGATCCTGATTGGCTGTTCCTGTTACTAGGAAGAATATACCTGAGACTGTTAATGTTATTATTGGTTATGTTTATGAAGTTTTTTTTCTTTGCTGCTGAGGGAAATAAAGAAAGAGTGCAGCATAATACTCGCCTCCGTGTCATTAACCCCTTAAGGACGAGTGACGGACGAGGTCCGTCACTCAGGGGAAACCCTTAACGACGAGTGACGGACCTCGTCCGTCACGCGGTAAAATTAACCCTGGATCGCCGCTATTGCGTCGATCGCGGGGTTAATGGTGCTCCGGTATGCCTCTGACCGCAAGTCTGAGCGAGCACATGTGCTCTGTATACTCACCTACCGGCTCCCTGCACTTCCGGGTTCTGTGTGAAGTGCAGGGAGCCGGATCAGTGCTGATCCTGCCCCCTGCTGGAAAAAAAAATAAAGTTTATTTAAAGTCCCCCTTACCCATTTTAATAAAAAATTAACCCCTTCCCTGCCAATTGATCACTGACTACAGTGATCAATTGGCAGGGATTACATTTTACTATGATCTGATTTTTTTTTTTTAACCCCTGAGGGTTAATTCATTTTTTTTTAACCCTCAGGGGTTAAATTTATTTAATTAATTAATTAAAAAATTTTAAAATTATATATTTAGCTAGCTGGGGTGGGTGGAAGTTAGTGGGGAATTGGGGGATTTGGCGTTAGGCTAACTAGGGGTTAACGTTAAAAAAAGTTTTAAAATAACCTTTAAAAAGTAAAAAATTAAGCTTAAGAAATGTTTTAATAACGTTTCAGTAAAAAAAAAAAAAAAAAACCCTTTACCTAGTCCAAATAAAAATTAACCCCTTCCCTGCCAGTCGATCACTGCCTACAGCGATCAAATAGAGATCACAGTATTATACTGTGATCTAATTTTTTTTAACCCCTGAGGATTAACTTTTTATTTATTTTTTAACCCTCAGGGGTTCAATTTATTTAATTAATTAATTAAAATATTTTATAACTATGTATTTTGCTAGCTGGGGTGGGTGGGAGTTATGGGAAAATGGGGAATTTACTGTTAGTGCTGCGTACTGCTAGTTAGGGGTTAACGGTAAAAAAAAAAAAGCTTAGAAAAATGTTAAATCTGTAAAAAAGTTTTAAGAAAGTTTAGGAAAGTTTAAAAAAAATTAATACGCAAAACAAAAGTTTAAAAACTAGTTTTTAAAAGTAAAAAAGTTATAAAAAGTAAAAAAATACATTTTAAAAACGCTCATTACCACTACACCTGGAACAAACTAGAGAAAAAATTATCCCACGCCAAGGTTCAAAATATGCCTTTTGAATTACCCCAGGGTGTATTCTTTAATAAATAGTATGTGTTTGTGGGGAAGTTTCAATAACCAACCGTCTAAACTACTCCAAATTGGAACATGGACACAGCGTAAAACTTCAAAGTTAGAAAAAAACTGAATGGCTGCGTTTCAAATGCGCCCCTTCAACATCCACATCTACCTGGCAAAGGTACATACAGGGGTATTGCTGTACTCAGCCGACATAGCTGAGCAACATATGAAGTATTATACAGTCATAGTTGCACAAACTCACTTTGTATGTCAAAAAGGCAGAAAAAATGCTTATTACCACTACACTTGGTACAAGCTAGCGGAAAAATGATCCCACGCTAAGGTTCAAAATATGAATTTTGAAATACCCTGGGATGTCTTCTTTAAGAAATGTTATGGCTTTATGGGGTATTTGGATTATATAGCCTGGTAAAATACTCTAAAATGGGACATAGGCACAGCATAAAAATTCAAAGTTTGAAAAAAACTGGAATGGCTGTGTCCCAAATGTGCCCCTCCGATGTCCACACATACCTGGCAAAGGTACATACGGGGGTATTGCTGTACTCAGCTGACATAGCTGAGCAACATATGAAGTATTATACAGTCGTAGCACACATAAGGTTTGCAAAATATACTGTGCAAACTCACTTGTATGTCAAAAAGGCAGAAAAAAAGCTTATTACCACTACATCTGGTACAAGCTAGCGGAAAAATGATCCCACGCTAAGGTTCAAAATATACCTTTTGAAACACCCTGGGGTATCTACTTTAAGAAATGGTAGGCCTTTGTGGGGTAGTTTGAATTTAAAACCTGCGAAGATGCTTGGAAATTGCACATAGGCCCAGCGTCAAAATTCAAAGTTTGGTAAAAACGGATATGGCTTGGTCTCCTATATGGCACTGTAGCTTCACGAAATAGTGCCAAAGACATTCATTGGGGTGTCATTTTACTCAGAAGACTTAGCTGAGCATAATTTGGGGGGTTTGAACTTAGTGGCACATATGAAATATACAAAACGCCCAGCAAAAATGCAATCCGTATGTAAAAAATGCACAAAATTATTTTTTACCACATACTTTGGCATATATTGGTGAAAAAATGGGGGCATGTTAAGGCACAATATGCACCTTATGAGATACCCTGGAGTGTCTACTTTTACAAATGGTAGGCCTTTGTGGGGTTTTTTGAACAGTCAAACTGTTATAATACCCCAAATGGAAGCTAAGGCTCATTAAATCCATCTCTCAAAATTCTACTGTGAATACTGAAAAGGACAGGTATC